CTGTCGGCGCATGAAGCGTTTTCTGCTTTTCAAGAGTGCCTTGTAGGGACAGACCGCTTCGATACAGGCATTTATGCCAAACGTAATGTCAGCGTCGTCCAAAGCAGGCTGAGCTGCTCCGTTCCAGGCAGCCTGGAAACGTGCTTGGAAAGTGGCTTCGTCTTCGCCGCCACGTACATCGCGTGGAGCAATCCCGTTGACTGCAATCTGGCGCAAAGCATTCCAACGTATTTCACGATGGCCTGCACAGCTAGATTCGTAACTGCTCTTGGCAGAGCTAGAAGTCATCTCCTTGAGGAGGTTATGTTTGTCGTCAGGCGTAGCAATGGCGAGCCCGACGAAGACCTTCTCCATACGTCCAGCCCACTTGATGGTCTGACGTGGAGTCTCAGATCCATTGATGATTTGGACCTTGAAGGTGTACTTGGCGCTGTTAGCATCTGCTGGAACAGTGCGAAGTTTGTAGGTGGTAGAGCGAGAATCGTCGATTTCGCATTCATCGTCGAGGTCGATGAGAGGAAGGATTGGTTTGTCGCGCAGCTTAGACTCGAAGCTGGTGTATGCGTCTTTGGCAATCTTCATGGTGAGGAATAGGTTGAGGGTAGCTGAAAGCTATTGTGTTTGTTAACAAAATGCACTACGCTAAAAGCTAGTGTAAAGATCTTTCGAGTGTTTTGAGTTTGAGAGAATGAAAGTTATGAGAGGATTAGAAAGCTATGAAAACTAATCAACGAGAGAGATCCACAACCAAAGGATCGTAGATCTGAACTCCCGCGGGAGACTGTGAAGTGTGATAGAGTAGGTTGCGGTAGCAATCCTACTCACTCCACGATCCAAAAACGGAACGCGTGGAAGATTCGTCTAGCATTTATCTAGTAGCGTGGAATCTCTCCACGCCAGCTAAATATCTAGCATGATGTTTCACCATCGACCTAGTATGACTAGCGGTCATGAGAACCCTGTCTCAGTGACTATTCACGAAAGACTCAGTCATGAGTCGAACTCAAACCCTATCTAGGATCGAGTCGCGAATAAAACTAAGAGCCGTGTATTGCAAATGGCCTCCATTTGTCATATAATTCCACCTTCTTGATGTCGGCAATTCCAGCCAGGGGGTATAATAGCTGAGAACAGTCCTGAGCACCTTTGAAACCAACCGGTTCTTTGAAGCAAGTCCAATCCCCATCCTTTAGAGCCTTTTCGCCCATTCTTTGGACAATGCTTCAACTTTGTCAGCAACTGAGAATCTTCTCTGGTACCATCAAACTTTCTCACAGGCATATGGTGCATGCTTCTTGTTCCATCAACCTTGAAGCAATAATGGTTCTCTGACACCAGTTTCACTGGTACCCAATACTGGTTCAAGTAAGCATCCCAGTCGTAGAAGTCTCTATCCTTGCACACACGGACTAGAGTGATGTCATCCCTTCTCATTGTTTCAATGAACTCCTTTGGAGTAAAGACGTTTGACTGGAAATAATAAGCAGTGAGAAGTAATCATTTCAGGTTTTTAGGAGAAGACAAACCATGGCCACCTTACGCTTCTGTATTCCTTTTTCATTATCTAGGTTGAACATTCGGTCGCAGTCGTTCTTTGTGTGTCCCTTATTGAGAAAGGTTGCACGAGCTTTGGCACAGATGCCTCTGTTCACCAGATGTAAAGAAGACGGATGACCATTCGATTCTTGTTCTGTTGTCATGGACAGTTGTCAAAGAAGAAGAAGAAGTTGATCTCTGGCACTGGTCCCTTGAGATTATCAGCTCTTCTTTGGACACGCATGCCAGAGATAAGTCCTCCTTGAATCAAAATATTGGTTAGCAGATTGGCCACGTTGTTTCCTCCCTTTTGTGCTTCACCTTCCATCTGGATAGCTAAGTGTATGCGTACAGATGTTGTAGACTGCAGTCCACCACACCAAATGTGCACAGTCACAGACAAAAGTGAAGACTCTTTCTTCCAAATCTTTGTCCTTGTCGCGAATAGCTTCCTCTTTCTTCAAGTTGAAGAGAGCTCGCTGTCATCTTGCCATCTCGACATGCATGGACGCTTCCAACACTGTGTCCTTCATTGGCTGCTTTGACTGCTTCGAACGTGTTCTGGATGTGTGTGTAGAAATCAACCATGGTCAGCGCTTTCTCAAACATCATGGCTTCTTCATCACTGTCAGGTTCTTCCTCTCTTCCTCTTCCTCTCCTTTCTTCTTCTTCTTGGCAAGGGTGGAGGAGGGAGTGGCATACTTACAAGTGCTTGTTGGCGAAAATGTAGCAGTCGCCGCAAATATCCTCACTTGGTCGCCGGATCACAAGCTTGGAATATTGTTTCTTCCAGAAGACTCGGAAGGTACTCCACACTGGCAAGTCGCTCGCGGACACTTTCTGTTGTGTTCCTGTTATCTCCATCTTCTTAACGAGTCGATCTTTGTAATCTCACTGTATTTTCCATCTAAGTCTAGAAAGGAACTTGTTGTATAGTCCTCACTTTGTTTTGGAAGATGGAAGCTCAACAACGTCCTTCTCTTCTTCCCGAAGTTCCACCAAAGTGTTCAGATGATTCGTAAACTGGATGAATTCATCGACGTTGACTTCATTGTTGGGCATCTTCGTCTTCCTGGGGAGTACCACATCATCATCATCATCATCATCAACAACATCGATGGAATTGGCATCCTTGAAAGAAGGGTGCAATCTCAAACATGATCCTCCTTCTTCTATTTGTCTTTCTGCCAAAGTATCGCAGCTCCCGCTGACTTAATTACGTCTCCTGAGACGACGCTCCTTTTGGTTACCCCCTCAGTTGCACTCTGAAATCGATTTGCCCGCGTTTATTGTGTAAATTAGAGTAGCCGCACTTCAGTTGCAGAATCAACGGTCATGTGTATCCGTAAGTACCAAACATGTACTTAACGTTGTTTAACATCTGTACATTTAGATCGTTTCGTGGATAAAAAGAACCGTTGAAGGTTCTAAGGTTAAGGTTAAACTAATTCAATCGCATGCGTACGTACCGGTACAGGTCCAGCCAAATCCATTGTTGAAGGTGCAGCACTGACTTCTCTCCCTCATTGAATTGCTATGGCAAACAGGAGAGAAATCCAAGCTTGGCCGACAAGAATGGTGTTGGAACGATCAATCGAATGGATCGCAATGAGGTAAGCCTATTATCAAGAGTGTTAATTGAAGGTACAGCGCTGACTTCTCTCCCTCATTCAATTCCTATGGTAAACAGGAGAGAATTCCGAGCTCGGCCGTCAACAGGTGAGTTGTTTTAATTATTCGAATCGAAGCACCTCTGTTATCCAAGCCTCACTCAAGCTGGCTGTCTCTGGTGTAGATTCGAAAGCCATCCCTCATTGAATTTCTATCGACTGCGGGAAGGCAGTCAGTTCTCAGCCACGGACGGCCAAGTTGGAGAACAAGGGTAAGTCACCGGTTTTCTTCAGTTGAGCAAAGAAAACAAAACTCATATCTATTTGTTGTTTTCTCTGCTGCACTGCTGACAGCTGGTGAATTACCATTGTCGAGGTCGAACGAACGATCGATCGCTCCAGATAAGGAGAGGAGAGGCTACCGCTACGGAGGAGGCTGTTAACTCAAGCCTTATCACCAGTCTGAACGTCGTCGAGTCATTGAAAATCGCAACAGTCGCCAACCTGAGGAGGAGGCTACACGGCAACACACAAGAGAGTGGATCCAACTACTGGATTCACCTCTCCTTGTTATTTCCTAGTGTTTTCGTGGTGATTCCGGTGTCGACACCCATTTTCCTGCATGCACAAGTCAGTTTCGAGGATTGGCCAAGTCAACGACGACTTGGTGGTTTCGTACGATAGATGTAACTAGACTAGTAAGATAATAGAACGCCGATTACCAACCAATAGACCATTCCTTTCATTAGATAGACACATTATGGATCAGTAGCAGAGCTAGCTCCAGGTTTGTTTCTCCCTTGGAAAACCGAACCTAAGTGTGTTTGGTACTGTTGCCACTGTCACCGATTGATGTAACTCTACGGTAACTGGCTACAATGGCTGGATTGACAATATTCGGTTGTGCATGTATTCGTCATAAGGATCCAATGCGAGGTACCGGTAACCGTAGCGAGCAAAGCCGAACTTTCGGTACTGTTGCCACTGGCGTCGATGTAGCTATACCACAGCCGGCTACGATGGCTAGATTCATAATGTTCGGTTGTGCATGGTATTCGTCATAGGATCCAATGCGAGGTAACGAGTGCAGCGAGCAAAGCCGAACCTGAGTGTGTTCGGTACTGTTGCCACTGTCACCGATCGATGAACTCTATGGTAGCTGGCTACGATGGCTGATTACAATATTCGGTGTGCATGTATTCATCATAAGGATCCATGCAAAGGTACTGGTAACAGAGTGTAGCCAGTAAAGCGGAACCTGAGTGTGTTCGGTATGTGCCACTGTCACCGTTGTATTTAACTCTAGGTAACTGCTACAATGCTGGATTGACAATATTCGGTTTTGCTGTATTCGTCATAGATCCAATGCGAGGTACCGGTAAGGAGTGTAGCAGTAAAGCGGAACATGAGTGTGTTCGGTACTGTTGCCACTGTCCAGATCGATGTAACTCTCTGCCTTACGGTACCGTAGCGGCTACAATGGCTGGATTGCTTTGTCATATGGATCCAAGTAGGGAGCAAACTGAGGAAACAGGAGACAAAAGCAGAAAAAAAGCCGAATTACATGAGTATTACATGTACTATGGCTTAGCGTGTTTAAAATTTGGGTGTGCTGGCATGGATCATACGAATTGAATGATTCAAATGGAATGGAATCGAATCAAATTCGTTTGATTCGATTGAATCGAATCGAATCGAATCAATCATTCTGAGCCTCCAAGCGGTGCATGCCACCGCAATGGTCATTGTTGCTGTTTGTTCCGCTCGAGTTCGGAGCTGGTACCTCCCAACCCAGTCTCTCACTGATACCTATCGAGTATTCATCCAACTCCATGGAAGAATAGAGGACTCCAAATGAAATTGACGGATGTCATGTTGGGCTTGGGGGGATTGGTCGTGTTGTTAACAGTGATGCTGGATAACATTGTATTGGCGGAGATGAAGCCAACCGAGTTGTGGGGTAGCATGTCAATCAAAATCTTTGGTGCCACTACAGACCAGCCAGGGGGCATCAATGCCACAACAGTCAGGCACAGCACACGAGTTGGAAATCAGAACCAGACAAATGAGAGTCTTCCTAATCCTAATACTAAAAGAGATGAATGGATCAACACGTCCAGTTCCAGTACCACCAGTCTGTCTACACAACCACCAGAAGTGTTGGCTACACCCGCTCCAGAAGTCACGACGACTTCAGACGAGGTTTCTCCACAACCAACAGAAGTGCTACCCACAAGTATGGCCAAAGTCATACCTACTACAGAGGTGTCTACACAGCCACCAGAATTGGTGCTGCCCACATCATCCATGCCTCTCAATTCCAGTATGTTCAAAGTACCCAAAGTGTCCAATGATTGGGAGCAGTTGAAACAACAAAATCCCAAGATTATCATTACTTTCCTCCAAAATTCTGGTTTGGGTAGCCAGATACTGAACATGCTGGCACAAAAAATTTACTTTGACAGTCTCCATCGAACATTCATTGCAGATGACACCATTTATGGATACCGATGGGATGAGGAGACAGGAGTGCTGAGGGGATTTTTCCAACCAAAATTTCCTGTGGTCAACAAGGATGAATATGCCACCATTGAGCGAGTTTTTGGAGTGGAGAATTATCGAAAAGCAATAGATGCCTCCAAGAAAAAAACCTGGCCGGATTACACATCTGGCAAACAAATTGGAAGGGTCAGCGACAAAACTCAACTCTATATTGTTTGGTCCACCAGTGGACCAGCACGAAGAGCCTTTCGCAAACGATTTGAGGCTGTGGGTCCTGAAGTGTACCAACGCTTTGCCGATTGTGCCTGTGACAATTTACAATTCAGTGATCATGCACTGTTCGAAATCAACCAGCTCAAGGAAGCTCTCAACATGCCGGATCTCACAAAGTCTCATTCGGTCGCATTTCATATTCGACGAGGCGACAAACTCGAAAAGGAAGCAAAGAAACCATATACGGCGTATCATTACGTCGATAAACTCCGAAGAATCCCCGATGCCGCAAGGAAGCCTGTGGAACATTGCTTTGTTGCATCCGATGATTACTCAGTGGTGGGAGAACTCCAACAAGCTTTGCAATCAAAGGGAATCCATTGCCAGTTGCACACACTCATACCCTCGGTCGCCAGGGGAGCTAACTTGGCATACAAGACCAGCTGTCATGAGGACACGATTCTTTTGTTGGCGGAGTTAACCATGATGATTGATGCAACCTACTGGGTGGGTACGTGGAATTCCAATGCCGGCAACATGGCTTCGGTCATGAGGGGCTGTCGTCATGCTGGTAAACCACACTATAGCCATTCATATGCCCTGGATGGCGAAGACTGGTTCTTTCGGTGAGTGGTGGGGGAAGCCACAATTTCACATGCTCTCTCAAAACAACCTGTTATGGTCAGTGAGCATCTCCCAGAGCCAGAATTATGAGGCTGTGGCCATGCACAAAACCATGACAATGTGCTTTTCATTTTACGGACCAGAGGAAAAGCCTACATGTATATGAAACGGTGGAACCGGGGGGTGGTGGAAATCAGATGCAGTGCCGAAAGATGGCTATCTGTTGGTTGTTTCCAGCATTTGAGTGAGTCCTACTTTTCCTTTGGAGAAGAGGAGAAAGTGATGGAGACTGGGGCTCCCCATATTGCCCGTGACTGACGGCCGCAGTTCCAAAATGAGAAGATATACGCGGTAAGCTGTTGAATAGTTCTGCCCAGGAACGTGAGGCCATTCACAGATATCAATTCATCCAATGTGCGGCTTTCAACCACAAAACATGTAATGGTGTCGTCATAATAGTCAAATGAGCGCCGAACTGAAGTCGAAACTTAAAAGTCGAAACCTTATTACAGGTGTGGCTTCTCCACAAAATCGTGTACATATCTTGTCGGTAGCGGACACAGACCCAACGAGAGGACCTCTGCGTCCTCTTTTTGAATCACTCTACGGGTCCCTGTTTTGCTGCCATTCCCATTGTGGAGCAAGTCCTCTATTGGACAGGTTTACCTCTTGCTGCTGCTGCCTCCCTTTTCGACCGTTCCACGGCTTCTCGCCTTGCAGCTTCATCATGTTCTGATGCTGCTTCTCTCCTGGATCGTTCCACTGCCTCTTTTCTTGCAGCCTCTTCTTCTGCCTCCCGTCGTTTTCGTTCCACGGCTTCTCTTCTGGCAGCCTCTTCTGCTGCCTCTCGTTTTGATCGTTCCACGGCTTCCCTTCTGGCCGCCTCTTCTGCTGCCTCTCGTTTTGATCTTTCAACTGCTTCTCTTCTGGCCGCCTCTTCTAATGCTTCCCTCCTAGATCGTTCCACTGCTTCTCTCCGCGCTGCTTCCTCTGCAGCCTCTCGTCGTGATCGTTCCACCGCTTCTCTCCGCGCTGCTTCCTCCGCAGCCTCCCTCCGGGATCGCTCTACTGCTTCCTTTCTGGCTGCTTCTTCTGCAGCCTCACGCCGTGATCGTTCCACAGCTTCTCTCCTCGCTGCTTCCTCTTGTTCCCTGACACTTTCATCCATCTTGGCACCACGTGCTGCGGCAGCTTCTCTCCTGGACCGTTCGACAGCTTCTCGCCGTGCTGCTTCCTCCCATTCATAATCTCTGGGACTTTCCTCTCCCATTTTGTTCGCACGAGCTTCGGCAGCCTCCCGACGAGAGCGTTCCACAGCGGCTCGTCTAGCAGCCGATTCATAATCCACGCCGTCGGTAGACCTGGCTCGTTGGGGCTGTGTTCGTGCTTGATTGGCATCTCGTCTCGATTGTGCCACTGCCGCCCTTCTTGCCGCTTCCTCTTGCTCTCTAGCAATTTCTTCATTGGTTTTGGTTCTTCGTACGGTTGGTTTGGATGACGACGAGGACTCATTCACGTAAATAGGTTTGGGACGATACGGAGCAGATGGCACATTTGCCGTGTCATTGGTGGTTTTGGTCCGTCGTATCGATGGCATTGCAGGAGAAGGCACGTTCCCCGTGTCATTGGTTTTGGTCCGTCGTATCGATGGCATTGCAGGAGAAGGCGCATTCGCCGTGTCGTTGGTTTTCGTCCGTCGTATCGATGGCATGGCATGCGGTGCAGGTGCCGTGGCCACTCGACGAAGTGCTGGCTTTTGTTGCTGAGCTTGTGGTTGTGGTCGCTGTCGTGGTGGTGAGTGTCCCAGTCCCACGGTCTTGCTGCGATTCATTGGGGATGTGGGCCTGGCCATTGGTGGAACTCCACGACTGGCATTTTCGTCGTCGGTTCGTTTGCGTCCCCTCGGAACCGCGTCAGTGGTTTGCGACCGTCGAAAATCGGCTGCTTTGTTTCGTGCCTGTTCAGCCGCTTTTCCAGCCGATTGTCGGACTTGTGCGCCTCTCTCTCGGGCCGATACAGCTGCTTTTCCCGCCGCTTTGGACGCGACTTTTCCGTATTCTCCAGCGGCTTTAGACGCAACTTTTCCGTATTCACCAGCAGCTTTGGACGCGACTTTTCCGTATTCACCCGCGGCTTTGGACGCTACCTTGCTGGCTTCACCAGCCGCCTTGCTGGCCTTTTCAGCGGCTTCTTTGGCCTTTTCAGCCGCTTCCTTGGCCATCTCCTTTGCCACGGTGGCAATACGATTCATGTTACGCCATTTGGAGCGTGCCTCTTGCTTTGCCTTGTAGTCTTCATCACAAAGTTCTTCATGTTCAATCATTTCTTCTCGGGTATCGGTATCATAATAACTACCAATCGTCTGCTGTTGTTCAATATCCACTCCTTTCTTGTTGGAATGCAAACTATAGGGCAAATCCCCAATGACCCCTGAGTAACAACAATCGACCAGCATGGTGCAATGCACCGCTTCGGGCAAGAACTTGATCAGATCCTTGAGAATATCATCGTCCATGATTTGTCCATTTTCCTTGTAGTCCGATGGCAAAATGTACAGATTATCTCCCAATCGCCCCCCGTGTCCGGTGTACTGAATGAACAATACATCGTTGGGGTTGGACATGCGTACCATTTTGGAAAAGCCATCGAGGATGTTTTGTTTGGTGGATCGTTTGGACGATGCCGGAGCGTGCTGATCATCTCGCAATTGGATAATGTCCTTGTCCTTGAATCCACAATGTTGTGTCAGGAAATGATGCACGTATTGAATATCATTGGGTGGTCCCTTGAGGTCGTGTCCTTCTCCCGACACGACGCAAATGAGGAGGGCCCGTCGGGTGCCGGTAAAACCCGGAGGAACAATGTAAAAGGGTGCAAACTGTCCACCCTTCAACGCGGGTGGTCCCAAGGGCCGCGAGGACGAAATGACGGGATTGGCCTGTTGCAACGAACTACATTGCTTGACACGAGATTGAATTTGTTGCAGAAGTTGCCGGTAATTGTAGGGCTGCTTGTTGCTGTTGCCAGCGACGAGTCGTTTGGGATCTTCAAAGAACATTTGCAAGAGCGCACACGTTGCTAGTGATCCGGAATCACTGCGCGTATTGGGAATGTCGGGCAATTCGTATTTGCGTCTGGCCGAATCACTCTCTTGAGCTTGTGTGACATCGTCTTGACTGGCAATCAGGACAATCTCGGCAGGAATGGCACGAGCGACCTTGTTTTCAAAGAGATGATTGTCGCTGTGAGGAACTCCCAGTACCTTGCGCAGTTCGCTCTTGACTTGTTCCGCCGCTTGTTCGAGAGACTCATACCCATACGACGCTCTCTTGGCAGGTACAGGAGAACCCGTGCCACGGTCCACATTTTCCGGAATGTGCTTGGGAAGCGTCTTCTTCTTGGTTACCTTGGTACCATCCAGATTGTACGACGTGGTGATGGTTGTTACCGTCCCGTCGCCATTGTCGTGAGTGGTAGTAGACGCTCGTCTCATTACATTCATCTTCAACATCTTGACTGGTTTAGGTGTGTTCTTTCTAATCTGCTGATCTTTCAAAGATGATGATACCCTCTTGCGAGCTGAGATTGTTCTGATCTAATCTATTAGTACTCTATTCTACAAAGACCTGACTGATCTCTTGGTCTGAAGCACCGAATATCTTTCCGTTGCAAGGAGACAGTGAGCCAGAAGGGAATGATGAATGAATGATATCTCTTCTTTCTTTCTTTGGTCGACACCTTTCTCGAATTGGAAAATTCGAAAAAGTGAACCCAACAAAAGATCTTTGGCTCGTGGCATGGTCATTGAAGCCTTGAGAAGGGAGTGACCGCGATTCGATGGTTCTCATCTTAGAGATGGAGTTTTGTGTGGCTTCCTCGTACAGTCCTGCTATATAGCACCCAACCCGGGAACGTGGCTGTGAAAGGGGTTGAGACGGAAGCTGCAACAATGCCGCACTGTGGCTTCACATCAACCAAAAACTCATTTGAAAGGCCACAGGCAGCTTTGACATGCCGTGCCGGTACAGTACGAGGTAAAGAGTATCTTTGAGGCTAGCTAGTTACTTGCTTTTGTAGCTTGGGAGCAACATTGCTCTTGATCCGGCTCTACGGTTTCATGGATGACAACTCGATCGTTACGCTGGATGGACAGTGCTATTTGCACAATAATGCCATCTTTTGTACACTCTTTCCCTCTCAGGGCCCATTCTCGTCTTCCAAGCCCAGGGGAGAAGCATCTGTGAATCTTGCAATGAGAATTGCTCTAGTGGGAGCTTCGTGGAGACACCCATGCTTGAAATAACCAACACTTTGCCATCTGTCCTCATTGCAACTGATTTCCATCACCCCCCGTTTCCACGGTTCCAAACAGGCTTTTCCTCTGGTTCGCGAAATAAAAGTAGATTGTCATGCTTTGTGCATGGCCACAGTCTTCATCATTCTGGCTCTGGCTGGGCAAGGCTTGCTTCCCATAACAAGTTGTTTTGGGAGGATGTGGAATTGAGGCTTCCTCCATAACTCACCGAAAGAACCAGTCGTTACCATCCAGGACATACGAATGACTATAGTGTGGTTTGCCAGCATGACGACAGCCTCTCATGACAGAAGCCATGTTGCCAGCATTGGAATTCCAGGTACCCACCCAGTAGGTTGCATCAATCATCATGGTTAACTCCGCCAACAAAAGAATCGTGTCCTCGTGACCACTGGTCTCATATGCCAAGTTAGCTCCCCTGGCGACCGAGGGTATGAGTGTGTGCAACTGGCAATGGATTCCCTTTGCTTGCAAAGCTTGGTGGAGTTCTCCCACCACTGAGTAATCATCGGATGCAACAAAGCAATGTTCCACAGGTTCCCTTGCAGCATCGGGGATCCTCCGGAGTTTATCAACATAGTGATATGCTGTATATCTTTTCTTTGCTTCCTTTTCGAGTTTGTCACCTCTTCGAATGTGAAATGCAACCGAATGGGACTTTGTGAGATCTGGCATATTGAGCGCTTCCTTCAGTTGATTGATTTCCGACAGTGCATGATCACTGAATTGTAAATTGTCACAGGCACAATCGGCAAAGCGTCGGTACACTTCAGGACCCACAGCTTCAAATCGTTTGCGAAAGGCTCTTCGTGCTGGTCCACTGGTGGACCACACAATAAAGAGTGGAGTTCTGTCACTGGCCATTTCAATTTGCTTGCTGGATGTATAATCCGGCCATGTTTTGTTCTTGGATGCATCGATTGCTTTTCGATAATTCTCCACTCCAAACACTCGCTCAATGGTGGCATACTCATCCTTGTTGACCACAGGAAATTTTGGTCGGAAAAAGCCCCTCAGCACTCCTGTCTCCTCATCCCATCTGTATCCATAAATGGTGTCATCGACAATGAATGTTCGATTGAGACTGCCAAAGTAAATTTTTTGTGCCAGCATGTTCAGTATCTGGCTACCCAAACCAGAATTTTGGAGGAAAGTAATGATAATCTTGGGATTTTGTTGTTTCAACTTCTCCCAATCATTGGACACTTTGGGTACTTTGAACATACTGGAATTAAGAGGCATGGAGGATGTGGGTAGCACCAATTCTGGTGGCCGTGTAGACACATCTGTGGTAGGTTTGACTTCGCCGTTGGGTGTGGGTAGCACCTGTGGTGGTTGAGTAGACAGAGTGGAGATACTGGTCTTTGGAGTTTCTTTGACTACTTCCCTTTGGGTACTAGAAGGTAGATTTTCGTTTCTCTGGGTCTGATTTCCAACATGTATTACTGTGGTAGATGTTCTGTTGGTGGCACTAAAGATTTTGGTTGAGATGCTCCCCAACAAGTCATTTGGCTGCATCTCTGCCAATACAATGTTGTCCAGCATCACTGTCACCACCACAACCATCCCCCCCAATCCCAACAGAACATCTGCCACCTTCATGCTCCTTTGTCCTTCTCCTGCTACTCCAATGGTATTATCTCGATGGCTTCATTTTGTTCCAAGTACCCATACAGATTGAATCGGGTTTACTATGGATTAGAGAGAGCTAAGAGGAGGACGGAGACAGAGGTCAAGGGGGGCACGACGCAGGAACGCAAGGCAGGCAATCAAGGGCGCAAGCAGGGCAACATGGAAACCAAGGATAGGGGTGAAGCAGGAGGGCAGGGAGGAGCAAAGGAGCAAGACTACGGAAGAGATCGAGGGCACCACAGTCATCCAACGCTTGGAAACCTTGAGAGCGGAGACACGGGAGCCTCTCAAACACAATGTCGTGGCACGGGCAAGACTATGCTCAACCTGGCCGAGAGAAAGAGCGAACCACAGAGTAGGGCTTGGACCACTTGTGAGCAAAAGCTGGAGAGCCGTTGGAAACAGCAGTAGCTTCGGCAGCAAAGAGGCCATCAGCAGAAACAACAAAGGGGTGAAGTGGCGGCGTTGTGCAGGCACTGAGCCTGGTATTCTCTTCTTCTGCCTCTCCCGCTGAGAAAGGGCCTCTCAGCAGTGACACCACGGTCACGACGACCAGGAGACTCAACATCCACGAGGGAGACATCGAAAATACAATCGGTACCTCGATGCCAGAACCCGCGAACTAGGAGGTCACCCCGATCTTGGACAACGGGATCAGAGGGAGTAGGAGCATGGGAAGAATCAGCAGAGTCAATCGGAGCCATACATGCTTACCGCGAACAAAAAAAATGAGTCTTCGATTGGTTGGAATGACTCGACTGAGGAGTCTCCAAACTTGCTGGAATGGCGCCATCGTGGATCGTGGAACATCGCGAGGTGCAAAGTGCACGGTGCACCTTTCGAGCCGCCGCTCGAGATCCCGCAACCCTCCCATTAGAAGTTCAATACAATGAGCAGGCCAACGACGATAACCAAACCTTCACTCACACCAATCACCAAAGGCGCTGGTGCTGCCAAAGACGCCGCCAAATTGAGTGCGAAAGACAAATGATGGAAGAAAACAACCATATGCATGGCAATCCCGCCGAAGCCACTTCCACCACAGCTTTGACTACGGGCAGTGCAAGCACGATTAGAGGAGCCATTGAGCTTCAGCTTTACGACGTCGTTGTAGGGGCTTCTTTGTCCGGTGTATCCTCTTCAGAAGGCGAGTCCGAGTCTTCAGGCTCTGAGTCTTCTGAATCAGATTCGGAAGACGAAGAGTCTGAAGCAGACGATTGGGAGGAGTCTGAGTCTGAAGACAATACGACTGGCGGTGCAAGATCCATTAGAGGAGCCATTGAGCTTCGGCTCCACGAAGGCGTTGTAGATGGGGCTTCTTTGTCCGGTGTATCGTCTTCAGAAGATGAGTCGGAAGACAATGAGACTGTTCCGGAGGAAGACAACGCCTCGAAAGGAGATGACGAGGATACCGGTGTCGTAGTAGGCACGAACAATCACGGGCAACGACGGTCAAGACGACACGCCAACAAGACAAAAGTTGTTGCCGACAACTACACCGGAGAGTTGCAGAGACAACGCAAACACAAAGATATTGATCCAAGCGCACATCGCGTGGCGGCACGTGCAACATGGCAATGGCTCCGCAAGAAAAGAATGGCATCTGTGCTTGACATCAGCGAAGCACAAGTCGAAGATAGGGATGCGGCAGATGATTCCGTTAGGGAGATCTTGCAGGACCAAAATGTTAGAGCTCCAACTGCAACCACTGAGAATAGGCATAGACTATCTTTTGGTCCACGGCCAAGAACACAGGAGAAGAAAGACGAAGTAGCCAAGTCGAGTGATGCCCCAGTACAAGCCAGCAACATATCAGATGCCCCTGTTAGTGGTGATTTTGGTGCTTTGAGGTGGGCCATGGGCATGAGCGCGTCAAAGCACTCTGCTGCGCCTCCGAGTACAAGTACAGAATACACAGCTCCAATCACAAGCACAGAAAACACAGATCCGCTTATAAGAACAGAGAGTATCCATACACAGCCTGTTGATCACCACAGGCTGAGGTGAAGGTTGCAGGAGCTGAAAGCCAAACTGGGAATGCCCATTGACTCTGGAGCGCCAAACACGAGCACAGAGGTTGATAGTGATGAGCTGCAACAATCAGCAGCAGAGAAAGAAGCCAAACTGGTAATGCCAAATGACCTTGCAGCGGCAGCAACGGGCACAGAGCATATCTGCATTACAACCACCGATCACAATGGGCTCCCACAATCAACAGAGGAGCAACAAGCCAAATGGGCAGCATCAAGTGACTCTGCTGATCAAGATGGCAGACATCAATCAGCAAAGGAACAACAAGCCAAACAGACCACGTCAAGTGACTTTTCAGTTGTGAGCACAGAGAGCATCCGTAAAAAACGTATTGACCACCAGAAGCTACGACGAAGACTACAGGCGCTGCATGCAAGACTGAGCATGCCAAGCGGTGTGGAACTGCAAGCCAGCACCAAGCCAGATCCTCCTCCTGCTGCTAATGCTGCTGGCGGCGGTGCCGATAATAATGATTTTGATGTTTTGAAAAGGGCTCTCCAATTCGAATGTCCCTGGGATGATGAGGTCTGCCCATCTCAGAATGATCAGTTGGAAGCTCTGCAGTGGGCATATGCATATTGTTGTCCATGGGATGCATACCGGAACATGCATATTGATACCGAAATGGAAGGCCACCAAGAAGTTGTGGAGTGGTGTATAGCAAATGCGTGCCACCACGAGCCTGAGGAACCTGGCACGGACAGTGACAGTGACGATGGCAGTGAGAGCGGGAGTGAAATTGTCGCTGATTTTGACTGATGATTGTGACTACTATAAGCGGTTGTGTTGGATAGTACGATTTGTACATCTCTAAGTAGAAGAAGAAGTGTGTTCTACTGAACTATGGAGCTTGTCTCAGTTCCAATAACCATTGTTGTTTGGTCTGCCCCGATGGCAAAATGCGTGCTCTAGCTTCTGAGTTCCAGCAGCTGTTCCCGCATCCCGCTACCACGTTTTTGGGAGAAACAACCTTGCCAGCCGCGTACGAGGATGCGTTATAGATAATAATAATAATAATTTAAAGAGAGCCACCCAGGGGGATGTCAAGGGCCCGAGCGATGTGCGAGCCCAGACGACAGGGAAGCAAAACAAACAATAAGAGGAAAGGAAGGAACAATGACAGGCAGAGCATGAGGGGGGAGGAGCAGGGGGCAAACCAGAGATCAAGAGTGCCATGATCACCCCAATGACGTGAGCTCATCCAACTAACAGGAACGTGAGAGCCACGAAGACACATCGTAGCTCTAGCCAGGGCTGTGCTCAAACGCGCAAAATATTCATTAGCTAATCAAGTAGGGAGGTAAACTACCAGGGGCCGGGCTTTGGCAAGGAAGCGTCCGCATTCAGGACAAGGTTCCGGACGCTTTTTATGGTGCTGGTACCACCTACGGTAGCTACGTAGGATTCAGTGTTCGATGAATCTGAAGTGCAGGATGAATGCACCCAGCTCAAGTGAATCATTGCCGCCGTATGGCGACTCAGAATGTGCTGTTTCGCCGATCGGAGTGAATGTATAAATCACCGGAAAGTCTGTGCAGAGACTGTTTCCCTCCCAGTCTTACCGGTACCCCCGCAAGGCAGTTGGAAATACATGCTTACTATAATACTCCTACTTTTGTTACAGGCGGCGGCGGCGGCGGCGGCGCTATCAGCACCGCCAAACATGCATGATGATACAAACTTCCACAGCAGTCGGCAGCTAGCACTGGTCATCATGTCAAGGGAGACACGACTCTAGCGGAATCCAGTACCAGTCTCTTGGCTCGGATGGGCGTCACGGTATCGTCTGTTGGCGGCGATAACAATTGTGTTTCCGCGTCAAACGACGCCCCATGATTGGTGGTGGTTACAATGGACGCTGGGGGAGGAGATGACAGCACGCCAGAGGATTGTGGGTCTCCCAGTATTCTGCAAAAGGCCGCGTCAACGGACCCACCAAGTTCGTCATCTAGCAAATTGGAAGATGTAATGTGCCACGAATGAATGTCGAGTTTGTCGCAGAGATGGGATATCTTTTTTCCCAAATCGATCCAGAACGTGGCTGATCTTCTACTGCTAGTTGTAGTACCATCAGTATTGGTTGTTGCGGATAGCTTGTCTCCTTGATGCAGCATTAATATCACTGCTTTCTTCTTCTTTTGTGGTTGATGCCGTGCGTCTAGCCATCGTTTCCAAGTCTTGATTTGCCTTAGAATGGAGTCTGTTTCCTCTTCTTCTTGCTGTTGCTGTGAGACATTGACGACCAATAGAATCACGGCAGCCTTTCTCCAGACTCGTTTCCATTCCGACTGGTTCTTGTCGATGGTTGTCGCTGTATTGGGATCAATCCCCGTGGCTTCCAAGAGTTGGACAAAGAGACTTTGGATGCAACTATTATTCTCTTGGTTGCGAAAGGCAAACTTTTTGCGGGAATACGAGACGGACCAATTATTCCCGCACTGCCGTAATACGGCCTCTTCTTGAGTTGTATCCTCGTGACATGGATCTACCGTCTCGTGAGACACAAAGCTTTCAATCAGACTCGTCTTTCCCGACTGGGGAGATCCCACCACTAACAGCGACACCAAGTCGGTGGTAGGTGGCGGTGGTTCCGAAGGTTCCGGGGGTAGCGGAGTGTTCTTGCCCAGGAACTTTTGCGGCAGTACTTTGACTCTTTTTGGCATGATGATTGTCGTCTTGAGTTCAGTGCAAATTGTGGTCTTCCTGCCTTCTGCTGTGGCTAGCTAGCTACTAGTCGGTGGGTGGGTGACGCGACCATCCAAAGCGAAGCTCGAATCGAACCTTTGTCGTTTTCGAAGCTGTCGCGACTAAGCAGATAGATTTCTCTGGACTCTGGATATCAACCGGTACCTGGTATCTATTAGCCAGAGCTATCGACCGAATCGAATCGAAAACCTAATCAAAGCGTGTTGTTGGAGCAATAGTAAGGGTCCCACGTCGTTCATTGTGGATTGTTACTAGTTTGTGCCGTGCGTTGAATGAGGGTGATGTTTTGGTTGAGGGCTGTGATTGCCGAAGAGAGCACCTTTCCTTAACCTTATCCTCATCATAACCCTTCCCTAACCATTGAGTCTTGGAAAGAAAAAGAGAATGAGGTCGAAATGACCAATAAATCTCCAACATTTGTACCGTACCGGTACCATTGGATCCACGATCCAAAAGCAGCATTGCCACACTGGCATGGCTGCCCTTTGCTGCACACATCACAGCAAGGTCCTGAAACGGGACTCAAACGATAGTTTCACCCTTTTTGTTAGTTTCACGCTTTTGGGTTAGTTTCACGCTTTTTGTTAGTTTCAACCTTTTTGGTTAGTTTCACGCTTTTTTGGTTAGTTTCACGCTTTTTTGGTTAGTTTCACGCTTTTGGGTTAGTTTCAAGCTTTTGAGTTAGTTTCACGCTTTTAGTCCTGTTTACGTTGATTTACTATGACAGATACTGTACTAGTTTCACGCTTTTTGGTTAGTTTCACGCTTTTTTGGTTAGTTTCACGCTTTTTGGGTTAGTTTCACGCTTTTGGGTTAGTTTCACGCTTTTGGGTTAGTTTCAAGGAAACGGTGGTCCATTTTCGGTGAAACTAACAAAAAGCGTGAAACTAACCCAAAAGCGTGAAACTAGTCCCATTTCAGGACCTTGCAGATGTACCGGTAGCAGATTCCAGCACACTCCTACTTACTTTTGCATGGCCATACCAGTTAGCCATCGAAAGGCAATCTGTCTAGCCAGCTAGAGCTTGCACTGGAAGAAGGGGCGTGGGAAAACAGCGTGAAATGCATACAGTACTAGTTGTTAGCTAGGTGATATCCACAACTAGGGCCACTCCAGGCAAAGATGCCAGTGTGTGTGTTTGTCGTTCAAAGATCTTGGTTCATCCCAAGGCCTGCCTAGTACTGCAAAATGTGCAATCATAGATGCATGAAACTCAGTCATTCCCATGTAAGCAACGCTGCCAAGAGGCTTGTTGCTGTGAGCAAACTACTAATGATACCGGTAGGTGTAGTTGCCGAGCTGTCTTCCAATGACATTGAGGTAGGTCCCGCGGCAGGGGGTGGAGACTCCGAGGCAGCCCACCATTCGGAAACATAGGACACATCCACGACCTCTGCCGTATTCGGAAACTGCTGAAAGGTTGTCTCCAACGTCCAGTTGCCATCGCCCAAGCATGTCGTGGTGATAAACCCAAGGAAATAACTCTGCAACATGTCATGGATGAGCATACCGTCCAAAGTTCCTCCGCCAAAAGCTTGCCTTACATCTTCTGGGCCATAGATAACGTCATAGAAATCCGTGTGTGTCATTTCCGAGATTTTGATTCGGAAAATCTTGGGGTCAGAACCCATGGATTGGACGGGTTCATAGAAGAACTCGTTTTCGAAATAGTTTCCCTTGAGCGTCGTTGAAGTGACGAACAGTAGGAGTGGCACACGCAGGGAAGCATCGAACACATCCAGAGATTGTCCCACACCATCCATGTTGATGGCACAATTGGCTCGAGGATCCTTGTGGGCTGCCACTGCGGCAGCCCCACCACCAAACGACCCACCAATGTATACCAAAGAAGAAATGCTGTTGTTGTTGGATCCCAACAACTGTCCAAAAAGACTGCTGGAATTAGTCCTTGCAGTCTCTTCCATGTAGTTTGCAAGAGCAATCTCATCGTTCACCCATTGGAGGTTATACTTCGCCAGGCCACGACCGTCTTGAAGAAACTGCTTTTCTCCCTCGAATCGAACGCCGAGATCGGAGCTGTTCATAGGCGCCGTATCCGTACTTCGCAAACCATTGTTTTCTTGCAAGGCCTCCACATAGTCATCGTCGATGGGAATGACATCTCCATTGGGGAATTGAACGCCCGTGAGACCTCCTGTATGAGCCAAACTGACCGCAATCATTCCATGACTGGCCAATTCTTGCAACAAGACCGTGTTGGAGGAAACCCAGCCGGTGGCGCCAGTACTATAAATGAGTACCGGAAAAGGACCTTGCTCGACTAAGAGAGGTGCTGCATCGAGATAGCTCTGAGTTTCCGCGGCCGAAAGGTTCTGGAAGTAGGAAAATGCATTCAGACCCGCCGGTACCGTGGCTTCTGCCTCTCCCACCTCAAAGTAGAGGCGACGACGACCCAAAGCACTGCCAGCGTCACTACAGCCTTCCTCGTTCATTGGATCCTTGCGGCAGATTGGATACCAAACACGTGCCATGAGTCTCCTCGTCTGGGAGTCCGTGCCAGAGTCCGTCAAATCCCCTTCCTGTGGATCCACAGGTCGAGTAAACTCAAAGTCATTTACACCAGTGACATATGGTCCTTCTGTCTCAGGCAACTGGACTGCCTCTTGGCTCCAAACAAAGCTCACAGCAGTGGACAACAAGAAAACTCCAAGAATGTTAAACTTCATCGTTTCGAATAAAAATGAGACGATGGAGAGGGGTTCGGCCTTTGTCAAAGGATGCACGTCTTGATCGCCTTGGTCTAGCTAGAGCCACAGTATTGTACGACGGACGACGGCAAGGGTTCGGTGTTGCCACCATGTTGTCGTCGGGTTCCGATCGTACCGGTACCGTACCGGTACCGGTACATGTACATCGTACCGTGCATGAACACGCGGTTACATCTATTTGCTCAGTCGTGGATTCACGAGTGAACCAAAACGGCACAACAGCGGCACTAGCTAGTACGATACAAGACAACTGCATTCCTGGCTACTAGCTACAGTTATGCCTCTTTGTCTCGTATTAGGAATTACAAGCTTGGATATCTAGTTAAAGCTGCGAAGTGTTGGGTCCATCTGTGGTCTCCGTACAAAACGCACCTTTCGTGTAAGGGAAGAAATGGTCAACGAGCGAGGGACGAGGAAAGGATAGGGGCTTTTCTGTAAGTGTTTTGCCTTCATGTATTTGAAAATGATACAGCATACATGCTGCCAAGCTTCCTTTTCCCACCATTTGCTTGGCATGGGAGATAGAGAAATCATTCTTTACAAACCTTTCGTGTACAGCGTAAGGTGTAAGTCCGGAGAGTTTGCTGTGTCATGAGCACCGTGAGCTGTTTCTCTCCTAACCTTAACTACCGATAGGCGGACCAAACTGGAGCAAACCCTCTCCCTAACCATTGCTTCTTCCAAAGAGAAAGAGAATGAGGTTGCAAGGACCATAAATCTCCAAAAATTTGTACCGTTGGATCCAAGATCCAAATTCAGCATTGCCACATTGTCATGTTCAAGACAGAAGGCAGCAGTGCACCTCGTCAAGGATGAAGGATGACGGATGACGACAATGCTTCGGGGAACATGTATGTAGACAATTGCAAATGACTTGTTCTGGAATGGCGTCCACTTCCTCATTTTTGATTATAAAGCCCTTCACCATGGCCGTGCAACGTCTTTAACCAACGCTCCCGGGTCCGATCGGAATTGTTCGCTTGTTTTGATTTGTGCCCTTCAAACCCCTTCTGAACCAGTCCAGTCTTCGATGCCAGTGACATTATTTTAGTCTTTGGTCAATGGAACTGGTACAGCGTATAATAGTAGACTATTTTTTAATAGTACGTGTAGTAAAAGACCGGCACAAGAGCTTGGCGAAGGCCCCCAAAATATCCAGGGTGAAGCTGCGGAGCTACTACCGAAAGCTAGCTAGCTAGTTCTGTAGCAGCTCAGGACGGATTTCAAGTTGATGGTTGATGGTTGTGGTTTCTGCTGGATAGCTACGATGCAGGGTGCTAGCTAGCCACATGCGCTCCCGTAGCTAGGCGAGGTCGTCCCTTGAAATGCGTCTCCAATACCTTGTAGCATCGCTTGTCGGTCTGTGGAGTTTGCCAGACCAGCTACCGGTACCGGTAGCTAGTTCTTGAGTAGAGCGAGCTACTTCGGAATGGTATCTTTACCTTGCGGCCGTGAACAGATTTATTCAACGCAAAGCAAGACTGTTCGTTCCGCTTGGCTGGATAGTTAGTGATACGGTAGTAGTAACCCAGATGAATGAGATGCTTCTATTTTATTTTTAGCAAGAAAGTAGCTACTGTAGCCATGCAATGCAATGCAAGCCAACCCATACAAACAACCCACTTCATGATTTAGCACCGACTGGCAATCGCCGTTGGCTGATAGGACGTATTGAATGTCCTGGATCGTCCCGGTGCCACCTTTTTCCGTTTGGGTTTGGGCCATGTGGTTGCCGTCCATAGACTTTCGAGGCTGTCTCCCGATAGTTCTCCCGAATACAAGGACGCAATGGCAATTCCCTCCATGTTTCTACCGGCCGTCAAGTTGTGCGACAGCAGTGCCAGGCAACTATTGGGTGGACAACGACTACTCGAAGGAGGAAGTGTCGGAAAGGCCACTTCTGTTGTTGGTGACGACGAACACGGCGACTTTGTGGAAAAGGAGAATGTCTTGGCGCGCATGGGCAAATTGCGTTTGCGTCGTGGAATGGATGGAAGCGCCAGCGAGGCGGTGGTGGCCGTGGTGGCGGTTGTGGTGGAACTTCGTGGAGTGGCCCTGACTTTTCTAGCGAGTATACCCACCGCCATGGATTCCATGGTACATGTTGTAGCAGTAGTCTTCATCATGGCGGGTTGCTGGGTTGTGTTGCTGGAGACAGGTGGTGGTTCGTTCGTTGTCATCATCATGTCATTGTCATCGTCTTGTTGCTGTTGAATGAGAGATCGCAAAGATTCGCCAAAGATGGGACTGAGACTGCGTCTGGGTCGTTTGGGAGCTTCGCACGTGGACTTCTGACTACTGGAAACCGAAGCTGCCGACGACTTTTGCGTTGTTGCCGCCAGAGCCGAGTTGCAGAGCACCAGCACAGCAGGAATGGATGCTTTGCTGGCATCCGTGCTGAGATCACTTTCCGTGCGACTGGGTAACTTGGGTGGTAACCGCACCGACTTGGACGAGGTTTCCGAGTCTGGATTGAGCATATCCTGGATCTTGGATCGTCGTCTGCGTCTCCGTTGTCCTTGCAAAGATGCCCGGTATACGGATAACGGCAGACTGGGTCGTCTGGTTCCCAACTGAGTGTTGGGAGTAGTGGCGACTGCTGCGGCTGCAGGCTTTTCGGTATCACTGTCCATGCGACTGGGGAATTTGGGAGGAGCCGAGCCCCAACTTTTGCGAGGCTTGAGGCCTTGCTCCTTCTTTCTGGATACAAGGTCGAATTCCTCATCTTCGGTGGTAGCAGCAGCACTGTGGATGCTAGCTCGCATGGCCTTAAAGCTACTGCTTCCACTGACCGTGCTGGCACAATCGCATTTCCCCATTAAGAGCTGACGAAACTTGTCCCGATCATACTCATCATCATCATCCGACGATTCTTCCTGACGAAGATGGCGATGATGGTAACTGCTGCCACAACTTGTCGTGTCATCACAGTTGTGTTGACTTCGTTCCAGACTGGTGGATCGACTGGGTCTTCGAGGCGGTCCACTGCTACTACCACCGGTAGTATTGTTATGCACACTGCTGCTTGAGCCCACCAGAGGAAAGGTTCCCACACGGCGAAGTCCTGGAAAGGAATTGTGGTTTCTGTGATCTTGCTGTTGTTGCTGCTGCTGCTCTTGTCGCACAGCACTGATGGAATCATTATCATCGGCAGAACTCAGAGATCGAGACGAAGTAGCACACATGCGGCGACGGCTGTGGCGAAACGGTGACGACGGTTTCTTCAATATATCCAACGGATCTTCCACCAACATCAGGACAGGGCTCTCCTCTGATGGCTCTTCTTGTGCTGATTCCGAGGCGCCTGGGTACTTTGGCAAATTATTGGGGGGTGACGCCATGGTCAAACCTCAGCTCAAACTCAACTCACACGGTGGATACCACAAAGGATGGAGAAATAACCAAAGCGTGGCTTCAACCTCTTGATGTTTCTTTCTCAGATAATGATCCCTTCACCTCTAATCTGATGTCACCTTTGTTATTGGGAAGTGGTATATTACTCGGCCTTTGCCAGGTTTTGTGCAAGGTTAGATAGCCCAAGAATGTGTGTTTCCAAGCGAACTGGATCTGCCAAGTCCTATTGTTTGCAAGTAGACTTGAGTTGAGATTTGCGCCCTTTTCTCACTACATGTACTTGCCGCTGCCTGCTCAATCCCTTTACCTGCTGTTACGTTACTGATACCAAGAGACCGGAGCCCATCCGATTTTCCTTTCCTCAACAACCGCTTGAGGACTTGAAGAGGGTGGTTGCAAATTCCGATGCAATGACACCATCTCAAATCACTTGTCTCTCAATCAATTATTACTGTATCCACGGTTTATACTCAGTATACGGTACCCCTCATTAAGGCACCTTAGGGTGTCTCCCCGTTAAACAACCAACCCGCAAGTATCCTTTCAGTCGACTAATAAAGCCCCACAGAGTCATTTTCAAAGTCTTGGACTTATGCCAACATCTTCTTATACCCTAAATAGTAACAGAGAAATGAGTTAGAGTGGTGATAATTGATCTAGTGTTCTAAAATAGCTTCTTCAATATTATTGCTCAATGACTGGCTCGGAAGGTGGCCGTTAGATCCAATGTTGCCTTTACACGGGATTTGTATACACTCTGCGCTGCACACTACGGTACTGTACTCAATACTGTACTATCATCGTTTAGCTGTAGCCTTCCCAGCCGAAGCTAAAGTTATCACTAACTACATGTATTTCAATGGCGAGACGAGCTTGCAGCTTGCACATCGATATCTACCAGTTCGGGATGCGGCAAACGGCAAAGGACAAGGCATCCATGCCATCGGAACCTTCAATGCCGTGGGGATTTACAAGTATCTGCTTGGTTTGGGTATCATGGATCGTGGATAATGTGCATTATTTGCACGTAGTAGTGGTGGGCAAATTAGTGTGGGTGTTGCTTAGTTACTTAGGAACGCGTTGCATCGCAACATCGGTCCAGCTAGTACCGGTAGAATTGGCACTATTACCTAGTGCTGTTGGATGGCAGAACAGCTCTCATAGTCTAGCTCCGTTCAACGGCGACCTCGCTAGTACAGCTGTACCGGAGAAGACTGGCTGAATGAATGAAGACGGCTTGCCACCAGAGCTGCCTGCTCTTTGAGAAGATTGAGAAACGGTCATCACAATGTCATGGGTTGCTTGCCTCCTCTACAGCATTCGCTCGCTAGGCATTCGCTCACTAGGCAGAACGATCCGTCGGTTCCAAGAAGCTCTGCCTGCACCAGGTTGCTTGTTGCATGGTTGGCTCCAGCGGTTGGCAGGAAGATGAAGTTGCGAGGGGATCATGTATGAACATTACCGGGACGATACCGGTACCAGCAAAGCAAGTTCCTTCTTTTGTGCAATACTAAGTAAAGAAACGGAGGCGCAGCCAGGAGCATGGTGACGGCCAGCCCATTCGTTCCCCACCCGTCATCACTCCGATCCTTGCCTACAAAGCCAAGCAGCAAGTTTTTGCCCCAGTATGCGATTGGACCAAGAAACCTGCCCCAGGCTAATGTTCCAGTAAACTGGGAGTTCATTGATGGCAGCGTCGTTTGTCTTCGTTGCGGCTGCTTCAGCGGGTGACCGTGGGGCACACGCAAACTTTCCACGACGCGGGTGGAGACACGAGATGGCAACGAAAACACACTGGACGATGCAAGGAGTTACGTACGGCACCAAACGTTGTTATGAATAGGGATTGCCTGGTGGCAAGATTGACTGCTTTATTGCGCTGCGATCAGCCATTGATGTGAAAAAATAGCTTTGCAGCCAGCTACAGATAGATAAGGTTGTCAAACTTCATGATGGTGTGTCCAAGACGGTGACATGTGGTGCCAGCACTTTTGACGAGGCAGGACGTTGCCTCACTAGGCCGCGCACGGAGTCGATGCTATTGGGAATTGGACCTGTTGGCTTTCTCTTGGGGCAACATCCCTCTCGCTTCATGTTCCCAAACTGTGTCCCCGCCCGCCAAGTGAAGAATCCTCGTGGCTCCGACGAGCTTCTGATCCCAACTTGGCAAACTATGGCACCCGTGGGATGCCTGGCCGCGGGCTACGGTTCCTGCCTCCTATTTATCGTTCCAAGGAACAAGTCGCTCCAAAACTGACTACTGATGTACGAGTTTTCGAGCCACCTCCAAGTGTCTGAGCGTCTGTCTCCATGCTATGAGATGTTTGCCCCCGAATGGAAACAAGCAAACAAGAACCCTTGTTCTCGCGCTCTTTTGCCATTGTCCTCATGCAGAGGCATTGCATGTCTGGAAATAGTTTCCACCATACGAGTCATTCAATGGTTGATTGGAATGGCTACTGGGCCATCATCTTTCTTTGTCGTTTTCTCTTCACCTGCTCGTTGTGGCTGCCTTCAAACTGGCACATGTAGTTTTGAGCGATGGGGATGGCTCTGGAGGCCTTAGCGCCATTCTTCTAATTGCTCCTAGTTGCATTCCTCCTCATTGAGCTCTTGAGCAATCGATTGCTCAAGTTGAAGTAGATTAGATAGTTCCACAGCCCCTGCAATGGATCGAAAATTGCAAACAAGACGAAGATCGGTTCAGCTAGCTGCATTTCTGTCAAATGGGCCAACAGTGGTGGGATGAATTCCATCCTCTGTGGCTGGTCTCATCCGACTGATTCAATCACAGCCAACTGGGCATTGTGTATGGCAAACTAACATCAATGTAACCCAGGAATAGAGAGCTTTGGATTCAGAGGGATCAAAGATTCAGCAGTCCCAATGACCAGTGGCATTGAATGAAGCCAGCCAGCCAGGTCTCCTCTGCCAAAGCTGCAAGCTTCCATTTTGGCCTGATTTTTCCACAGAACAAAGAAGGTTGCAAGTGAAGAGTTGTACAAAGGTACAAAGGTTCAGTAAAGGCAAAACAGTTGTTGCATGATGAAGCCTTGTGCGTCACACGTGGCAAGATTCCATGTGGCAAACGGTGCAGTACCTGGGGTAAGTTGGAGAATTTAGCAAACTTTTCGTTGTACCCAAGGGAGTTATTATTATAATAGTTGTGGGCATGAAAGAATAGAACCAGACTGAACACTAACCAACTCACAGGGCGCAAGAGGGCAAAAGCTTTATGTCACTCAGCTGTCACTCCTACATCGCAAATGGACATTCCCAAGACATGCCGGTGGACGTGCTCTGGGAAGGAGCACTCAATCCATCGTACCCACAGCGCTACGCTAAAAGCATCTAGCCACGTGATTGGACACTCGCGGCTTGGTCTCTAAATCTCTCGGCGAATTGCAGAACACAAAAAGAGACTGAGGGTGAGCACCAGCATCAACGAAGAGCACCCTCCTCGTCCAACGTTGCGAACAGCAAAGGAGTTTTGATGTACATATCGCTGCTGGTTACGCAGCAAGTCAACTCATTGACACTGACTATCGCTACCTACCAAAGTCAGAAAGTGTTGGTATAGCTATACTAACCATGACGAATGAAGACTTCGATAATTGAAGAGATCATCCCAGACGGGGGCACAGATTTGGAAATGGTTTCTATTGGTGGCAGCAACAACAATTCATCCAATGCCGCTGGGCGAAGGGAGAACATTCATGCAACATTGACATGGCAAGAAATTACCCAAGCAGTACCACCAGTGGGGATCCCACTAATCCCAGAAACTCCACAAGAAGAATGCCCTCCTGTTCCAGTACCACCGGATACGGAATTCACCAATCCTGGCGCCTTTCCTGTGGAAGGGCGTTTCATCAGTCAGGACGACAACCTCCAAGAGCAGAATACTCAAGCACCCATCATAGATGCCCTGGTAACACATACTATAAGAGATGAGAATGATGAAGGTTCCAATCTATTCCATCAGAACACAGAGACTACATTTCCCAATGAGAGACCACAGCATGACTGGGGGCAGAAATTACTCCGACTCCTTTCATTGGAAGTCAATGTGGCTCTCTTCACCGTGATTGTAGTACTCCTGATATTTTTGGCAGTTTCCGATGATGGACACAGTAGAAACAACAACAAACACAGCAAATCAATCAACCAACAAAATGGGGCAATTCATATTCCCGCATTAGCAGCAACAGGACCAACAAGTGCACCAACAAGACTTTTGGATTCACTCAATTTACCAAATTTCACCATCATGGCTATAAAAGACCCGAGATCTCCGCAGCGCAAAGCATACCAATGGCTGACTCAAAACATCAACAATACAAGTTCTGCCCTAAAGAATCTACCAAAATGGAGACTGATACAAAGATTTGCTCTGGCCACATTCTACTATTCTACAAGCGGAGACTATTGGGTAAAGCACAATGGCTGGTTAGACTGGGAAACAAATGAATGCAGCTGGGAACAACTTTTGCTTTCCCGGGATAGTTCACCTGAACTGAACTGTAACAAGAAGGGGGAAATCAAGGCACTGGCATTTTGGAATGCCAATAACATGGAGGGGACAATTCCACCTGAGATCTCATTGCTGGGCCAAAGCTTGGAATCCTTTGAATTGAATCGACAATTGTCAATCAGAGGGACTATCCCCACCGAGTTTGGACTGCTGATAAAATTGACAAAGTTGGTGTTGAGTTCAACAAATGTTGTTGGAACACTTCCAACAGAGCTTGGTCTGCTACAACGTCTTGAAAGGCTCCAAATCACTAATTGCCACCTTTCTGGGCAAATACCTTCAGAGGTTGGCAATCTGGACAACCTATCGGCAGTGCTGTTGGTAATGGCAGATCTAACGGGTATGTCTCTGTGGTTTTGAAGAGTATTGCTCAACCAACAAAGCTGAAACTTCTTACAATCCACCCAACCTACATGTAGGTTCGGTGCCTAGTGAAGTTCTCCAATTACCTGGCCTGGTGGCTTTGTCAATTGATCAATGCCCTGGATTAAACACAGAATCTATCCTCCATGATGCCATAGCAAACCTGCAACGGCTGGAGTGGCTGGTCCTGTCAAACAGGACTTTGGGGATAGGGGTGCCAATTCCATGTAAGCACTGAGACAAGGATTGTGCAGGGACCAATGGCACCTCACTCATTTGCTGCATTCTCTGTTCAAAGCTGAAATTGGCATGCTGACAGAACTAAAACTCCTTGGTTTGGTAAACTGGAATATTCACGGAACTATTCCAAGCCAGCTTGGAAAGTTAGGGGACGTGGTAAGCAATCAAAGAATGTTATGAAATCATGCTTAAAAACATTTGAGGTTGCCTGACCTTTAGCTTGTAGTTGACTAGCCTGGACTTGCGTGGGAACTCAATCTCTGGAAGTTTACCACATGCCTTGTGGGAGTTGACCAGTGAGTATGGTGAATCTTCTGGTGCACCACACACTTTTCTTCACTCATGCCATTTCTTTTCAATATTCCTACCTTTGCCTTTCCCTCAGATCTGGTTGGTTTACATCTGGGCTCCAACATGTTAGATGGAACACTCCCACATGATCTTTTTTCCAAACTTACAAAACTAACAAGACTATGTATCAAGAACAATAATTTTTCAGGTTTGATCCCTCCAGAAGTTGGTTTGCTGTCCAGCCTCAAGCAGCTAGAACTGCAAAATACCAACCTTGCAGGGACACTTCCTGCAGAACTACTTGTGCTGGAAAACTTGACCAGTGTGGTTCTCCAAAACACGTCCTTATGGGGCAGCATTCCTGGAGAAATGTGTGACAAATTACACCAGCTAGAAATGAAATGCATTGTTGGAGGTCCAACATGCCAAGTCTTGCAAGTGAAAACCAATACAACTGTCTGCCATGGAACTTCCCTTTGCGGATGTGATTGTGCTCCTTGCCCAGGAAACTAGAAGGAAAAGGAACATTGGTTGCCTTTTGTTGACAATGGAAGGCCCACGCATGCAACAAATCATCCTCTGATACCAGAATACCGAACGGGATCTTTCATGGCTCTGGGCGATCTAGCAGTAGGGGCGGGCTTTGCTGGTGTACTCGGACGATTGGGGAGGGGGTGGGGCCGCGGGTGGCCGTTGTGTCGTACTGCTAGTATCACGGCTTGTTCCACTCAAATGACAAGAGGTTAAAACAATCTTAGTGACTATGTTGCACGTTTTACAGTACTGTAGTACCTGCAAACTATGGTACTCGGCCAAACTATTTGCTAGCCAGCGACTCGCTTGGCTTGCTTGAGCGTTCGAACTACGTTGATTTCTTGCCGTTGCAGGACGGAAGCAATTTGGCTGTCCCACTTCCCTTGAGCAACAGCACTTGCTGGACGTTCGACATCGATTCGACGGATGGAAGACACTTGTTGGCATGCCGTGCAATACAACTTCTTGGCCGTGTCACCAATCTGCAGGACGGTCTGGCATGCAGGGCACTGGACTAGCTTTGCGTGGCCCATGATAATGGACTCGTAGGTGTGCCGAGTACCCTTGACTTGTATCTTGGTGCCATTGGCCAAACGAGTCACGTGGTCGTCAACGGACATTGGATGTAACGGAGCAGATCCCCTCATTGACGAGGACATCTCAAGGCCAGGGCTGTTCTGAATGGCACGAGCCGTACCTACCGGCACAGGACATCTGCGCGAGTTTGCTGGAGTTTGCCAGCGAACTCTGCAGGGCTTGCGACGGCCATATTGTCGTTCGATCTCGTCCAAGATTTCTTGTTGCCGTCGCAACTCCTCTCGGTCCAGCCGTATCCCTCCGAAGTCGGATGTGGCACCTTGTGGTAACGAGGCGAAAGGACTCATTGGAGGAGGGCGGTCTGCCGTACCATGAGCTGCGTCAGGATCAAGCCCACCGGTGTTGCCCTTGTCTTCGGTTCGAGGAGAACAAATAGTTCGTGCCGGAAGTTTCTTGTTTTCGTCTGAGCTGGCCTCGTGCTTTCTACTCGTAGCTTCCTCTCGCAGGGAAAGCCTGCTGTCGGCGTTCCGGACGAGGTGCTTCGACGGCAATAGGTTGCTACCGGCAGGAGCCACCGTCGATCTCTTCACTAACGCTTCTCTTTCAATCAATCGGCAAAGTATCTGGTGTTCAGCGCCGCACTGGAGCTGCAGCTGACATTCAAAGCGTCGCTGATCCCATATGAGACATCTCTCTCGGTAGCGCTTTCCTAGGGAATACAGCGGATAGAATTGATCATGTCTATTGTGAATGAGAATACGTTCCGATGACTGTTTCCATTGTCGCGAAAAACGGGAACCAGAGTCGGTAGTCTGCGAAGAATGAGAGTCGGTGGTCCTAGTGGAAGAGCACGAAGAGAGCCCCCATGTGGTAGCGGTTGTCGTTCGCTGTAGTGGACTTGGCTGGGGCGGTGAGCATGACTCCGGAGGTCGGTTCTGTCGGTGTCGGTGGCAATGGATACGGCTGCCCTGTTCATTTTCCGCTACCAAGTAGCAGTCATTATTGAGGTTATCATTGAGCTGCATATCGAGGCTGCCTTCTGCTAGCCGCTCTTTAGTTGTTGTCATTAACTCGACAGCAACAGTGCAGCAACTTGTGATACCCTTCCAACAACAAGCTTTCAAATTCTACAGGTAGCAGTACCGTCGTAACTAACTCAACAACACGGCAACTTACGGCACCCAACAAGCAACAAACTATCAATTCCTTCAGCCAAGACTGTTGTCATTAACTCGACAACAGCAGCAGGGTTTCTGGTGATACCCCCAAAGCGAAGTGGATATCGATTCTCTCAAGGCAGGACTGAGTCCTATGGTCACCGTCGCGCAACGAGGAGGGGTGAAGGAGGATTTAGCTCTACGAGTAGAATAGAATCATTCAATGCTCGTCTCAGCCACCTCGCTGCTTCTTCTTAGTCGAGTCATGCGCCACTAGTCGCCTTAGCTCGAGGGGGTGGTAGATAGCACTGAACAGAACTGTCCGCATCCCAGACACCGGACAGCTCCGTTTGGGAAAGCTCCATGAACCAGCTAGCTAGTTAGAGTTCTCCAACAAAGTGGGAATCAAATGACGAAAGGGAGTTGACTCTAGCACTTTAAGCAGAACTACCCCCCGCCGATTAAGAGACATTGCTTCATTATCAATTGAGGTCGAGAGTACATATGCCATAAGCATAGGTTCCGCACAAGATACTTAACTCAATGGTTGTTCTGTGTTTGAAAACTTGTAAAAACGCGCGGAAGTTCCACAGTTGAACAGAAACTGTGACTGATACATATAACTTGGATCCCCTTGGCAATGATGAGGATGATGTTGGTGGCTTTCTAAAGTTACAATCAACGGAAGACGGAACGAGAGAGGGCAGGAGCTACACGTACACTTGTACCGTCCATCGTAGCTACCGGTAGGTTTGTGTCTAGGTTTCTGTGTGTGTGTGTTTTCTAGCTTCTTAGTTCCAGCCGTAAACGGCACCAAGAACTGATTGGGGATGAGCGCTTTCTTGAGCACTTCCCAAGCTACAACTATCTTTGAAATACGCATCCGTCGCGCCTAGACAATCAACGAGAAGCTCACTTGAGAAGTCAGATCTTACATGTAGCTATCAACCAAGGTGCTACGGTACCTGGTGCCCATCCAACACCACGACTACACAAAGCAAAAATGCGCAGCTCTTCCATTTTGCTACATGTAGTTTCATTCACTTGTCTCAATCTAACACACTGCCTCAAGGCTCAAGGCACTGGAGTCAGTCCCTTGACGAAGGGCATGTCAAACATCCATTCTGCCGTTGTGTTTGATTCCCGTGCTTCATCATAAGATTGGCACCAGCAGGTGTCCACGCCATCTTTACATTCTCGCCAAAATGCTCAATCTCAAACAAGGTAGGATGGAAAGAGGGGGGTTTAGAGTAGGTAGATTATCTACGGAAGCCAGCCAGGGCCAGGCTTAAGCAAAGAGCAGTCGAAATTCAGGACTGGGTTCTGTGGGATCAGGGGCGAGAAATTGAGGACCATTTTGGGGGAGGATTGGTTTGAATTGTCCTGGTCACTCCATTGGCCATGGAGACTTGTCTGTCTAGCTAGGCATTGACGAACTTGCTGTCCAACTGGAGTGGAGCAGCAAGCTAAGTGCAGTCCCTGCAGTTGCATCACTTGGATCTCTTCACCGATGATACTTCTAATGGCCACAATCCTTCATGGGCTGTCAACTGTCAACCAGCTGTCCAAAACTGAACAGAATTGACCAAGCAGCTGCCCAATCACGTGCACTGGGATAAATTGAGGCGGTCAACTGCACTGGCGCTGGGATTGGATGCTTCATGACGGTAAGTACTTGAGCTCATAGCTTGAGGAAGGTTGTCAAAGTTGCTTGTTGGAACTCATTTGCCAACTGCTACGACCGTGCCATCTCAGAGCTCACTGCACATCCGCAGCTGTTCTCATTGGAACACGAAGATGTGCTAGGAATGACAGGTGGTCCAACTGGCCATGGACCTTGAACATCCCAAGTGTCTTCTCAAGGAAATCTGCATCCAGTCTTTTCTGGTCCCAGAAGCGGCTGGTGATGGGATCAAAAAGAGCCTCCAAAAGTTGTCTGTCCATTTGGAATGTGAAGGACTCACTTTGGGCACCATGGCCAGATGTCTCAGTGTCAACACAATCTTGCTTGTAAGAGGTTGGCTTTATATGCCATGGTAATGATGAACCTAGTACCCAAAGTGTCAAAAACTGGCAAGGTGGCTCAAAGATACAAAGCTGATGCGTCCTCTTCCTCCCTACTACGACGCTCCAATAATGACAGCATGTTACAGGGCAGCTTGAAGATAAATAGCAAATGCAAGCTTGCCACTACCGATAGCAGCAAGCTTTTGCCGATGGCAACTCCAAGCTTGCCACTGCCAACAGTCACTTCAGTGGCAATCGTATGGCCACACAACAGCCGACAGCGACGGCATCTGCCAACAGCAAAAAGTAATCTCCGGGAGCGCTCTGTAAACTTCTAGCCCGGATCGAACCGTACCCTACCCACATGTCCAGTTTCACGCAGAGATGCATTTTAAAATTCACGCAATTTACTAAGGTACTAAATATCAAAACACGCACTGCTGCTTTGTTATTATTATATTCCAAAGTCATCCATGACACGTTTCCCTTTGACGTATCGTTTGTTTTGATTTCGAGTGGCACGAAAGGCTCCCTTCTTTTTCCCCTTTTTCTTTTGTTCTTCTAGCTGTTTTCTTACTCGTTGCTTGGCCTTTTCTTCCATTTGCCGCCGTTCTTCTTCTCGCAAGGGATTATTGGTAATGGTCAAACCATCCAACAAGTTTTCCACTTCGGGCACGTCGTCGTCGTCATCGTCGTCGTCACGGGCCGGATCGTTGTGTTTGGTGATTGTAGTAGTGTTTTGGGTGTGGATGTTACTTTTGACATTGGTTGTGTTGGTTGGATCATCCTGAACGACGACAAGTGTTGGCGCGTTATCTTCCTCCTCCTCTGCTGCTTGTTCGTTGCTGTCTTGTTGGTTGTCATCATTATCATTACTATCGTTGTCCTCTTCGTCATCCTCCTCGCTGTCTTGCTCCTCCACCATGATGGAATGCATCAATTGTTCATTGCTCTGAAAGTAGAACAACTCTAGTTCTCGTTTGGAGTCTTCCACCGAATATCCACTGGCCTTGAGTTCGACATCGAGTCGCACGGTTACTTTCTGATCCAATGATGGCGAAGAAGTAGTATTGCCATTATCATCCTCTTCTTGTTCTTCTATGATGGTGTCCCACTCGAGCAAGTGTTGTGTCAAATCTTCCTTTGGAATTTGGCATTGCAGCTTTTGTGCAAAGAATTTGACGAGACAATGCAAATCTCGTTCGTACAATTCCTTGGCATTGGGATGTTGCGTACTGACCATTTGTGGGAAATCAATGAGTGTGACAATGGGTTTGGGTTCTCCTGTTTCTTCTAGCGTGGCAATGGGTTTGGGGGGTTCCAATTCTTCTGGTTGCAACTGTTCACCATACATGGCTGCCATGGCAGCAGGATCGTATCGTTCATCCCACGGTCCCATTCCCGAAAGCGCTCCTTTACTGGGTGCCACGGACATGCCAGAATGTCTCACGTAGACATCTTCCGAGTTGTTGGGTTGAATGCCGCCACTCATATCCACCAACAAATTAAATTCGTTGAGATCGCAATGGACCAATCCGTGCTGTTGTGCCAATCGCACGGCCATGTTGGTGGCATCTTGAAAAATGGATTGTGCCTGTGCGGCACTGACTTGATTGGTTTGTAGTTGATAGAGTGGAACACCTCGTACCAGACTCATGACAACGACGTGTCGGTTATGAGCAATGGGAGTGGGTGTGGGGTAGTTGACCGAATGGAGTGCCTTCATGAATGCGAATTCTTTAATGGCCGACAATCGACTGAGGAACAACCACGAATTGGGTTGATGTTGTTTCGATGTGTTATTGAAATAATCTCGTTTTTGCTTGACATTGCGAAAGGATGTTCTTCCCAATCGATGGAATTTGAGGACGTGTTGGGTTCCATCTTTGTTACAACTGAGATAAACATCGGATTCCTTTCCCGTTCCAATCCGATCTCCAAACGCCACGACGAATCCGCGTTGTTTGAGATTGTGCAACGCCAAAATATCGTATCCGGCATTGGTCAAGCGGTATCCATCGTAGCCTCCCTTTTTCGTCTTGCATTCATGCGATAACAGTTTGTCTCTTAGAAGAGAAGAAATAATCTTGTGGGAACCTCCGTGCCGTAGATTGGCCAAACTGGCTACAATGGGTCCTGGAACAATGCCGTGATTCTTCATTCCTTCTTCCACCGCTTCCAGGACACGATAGTCCTTGCGGTCCATGGTGCGCATTACAGTTGGATCCAATTTCATCTTGTTGTCTTACTTCTTTACTACTAGCTACTAGCTAAAACCTTTGCTGACTGAGGATGGATGATGAATAATGGTGTTGGCAAAAATAAATAGAACAGAGCCAAAAGAAAAGAAAAGCAAAGTGAACGGAGTGATCAGAAAGGAAACGGCAACTCTGGGTTGCAAAACAGTTTGGTTGGCTCTGGAGAGGTTGTCACGGATGACGGTCAGACGATATCCTCATTTTTTTCTTCAAAGCCCCTCATTTTTCTAATAAGATCCACTCTCGGAAACAACGATCTCTCCGACTGGAAGAAGAATACAGGATAGAGAAAGTCGATATAGCTAGAGTACTATAGTAACAACACCATGTCCTCTATTCCACTGCCAACCAAGCATTTTCTGCTGGGATTTGCGACTGCTCTTTCGGCTGTTTGGGTATCTCAGCGCTTAATGGCATTGTCTGCATCCTCATCTACTCGAAACACCAAGTCATCACGATCTCCTACAAAAGATGCTACTAGTACATCCAACAACGACAAAGAACAAGACGATCATGTCGTCATGGACACTCCCGATTTGGATCAACGCATGATTCGCAAAGCCGAAGCCGTCATTCAATGGAGAACGGCACGGATTACTGTCGTCGTAGAACGATGTACCAACGATTTCAATTACTCGGCTATTTTACGGACCGCCGAAGCATTGGGTGTGCAACACGTCTGGATTATTGATCCGCCTCTTCCACCCACACTGGCCGAAGATACCAATGGAGATATTATGGAAGTACCCACCAAAGAAAATGCCGGCCGACCCGTTCCCACAGGACAATTTACCCCGCAAGAATTAAAGGGACGTGCCATGCATCATATCTTTGCACGAGGCGCGGGAGAATGGTTGACGGTACGAGAATTTCAAAACACCACAGATTGTATCCAGGCACTGAAAGAAACCAATCATACTCTATGGGTCACCGATCTTAGTCAACAAGCGGTCTGTCTCACACGAGATGTACTACTGCAACAACAGCAATCCAACAACAACGATAGTCACGATCCACAACAATCATCATCATCATCGTCAATATTACCACCCAAATTGGCCATTGTCTTTGGTACCGAAGCCGTGGGATGTTCTGAAGAATTGTTGCAAGCCGCCGATTTACGAGTCTACTTGCCACTGCGGGGATTTGCCGATTCTCTAAATTTGTCCGTCGCCACGGCATTGGTATTGCATCAATTGTTCGTCCTCGATCCGACCATTGTGGGGGATATGCCTCCACAAGAACAACAGGAATTACGTCAAACATGGTTTACCAAACTCTGTCAACAACGATTAATGACACCGAAACAAAAAAAGACACGAGGACGACTCCAACTCGCCATTCAACAATGTGACAAGATTCAAGCCAAAGAAGAACGCGGCGAATTGGTGCAACCCGGGGAACGCAAAAAACTGAATCAAAAACAACAATTCCTACAAGAATTGGCAGATCTCGAACGCACGTGTCGTTTGGACGACCAAGGAACTCGCGATTTGCAAACGGCCATTGCCGATTTGGTCCAACATCCACCTGCGCCGCTCACGGATATGCGACGCGCCGACAATCATCGCGTTTGTTTTGTCGGAAAGAATACCAAAAAGAAACATCAGGAACATTGGAAGGACATGGTGGCCACCAGCAATGCCGATACCAAAGCACAACATTCCGCATCGTTTTTTCGGGAACGTGTATTTGGATAACGTAGTACTGTACTTACATGAGAATGTGAAATGGGCTGCAGGAGCATACAGGAAGGAAACAATGGAACGCAGGCATGATCGTTCAACAAGTAAGTGTCAACAACCGGGGTACAGATTAGATTAGCTAGCGAGACTGAGCAAGTAAGTCAAGAAACGCAGTCGGGTGATGGGTAAATGGATGCTCCAACTGTACGAAAAGGCTGCTCTATTTGTGGGTGCTGTCCTTCGCCGGATTGTGCCAGCTCCTGGGGTTGGTATACTGTGGTGGCGTGCAAGACTGCTGTGTCATTGGGTTCTTCGATCGTTTTGGTGAGCACCACAATAACTCCATAGGTAGTTGCTCTTGTATGCGACTGACCACAGGTCCCCGAATGAGTGTCGTCCCACTCTCTAGCTAGACAGGACTAATGTAGCAAACGGCCGCTGAGTAGAATCTCAATCCAGTGCCACCGAGGCATGAGGGATGGTAGCACTTGGTGAAATCGACAGGAACTTTAGGCATGCTGGAACGTCGCGCACTCTACAGAACACACGAGTAGTAGTTTGACCGTGCAGACAACAAGTAACTGATGGTTAACACAGCTATTTACGCACGGCATCTGACTTGAAGGGAAATGCTGCAGCGAATGCATCCGTCAATCTCTGCTCGAGGTGCTGCTTGAATGAATCATCCCAAGTAAATGTGTTGTTACCGATTCGACACCAGCAGTTGGCTGCCCAATGTGCCAAACTACAGTATGCTATTGCTTGTGCTTGTCACTTCTTTTGATGCTAGATCAATGATGGGCACCAACCACAATCACATCCGCAAATTGAAGTTCCATGGCAGACTGTTCTGTTGGTTTTCACTTTCAAAACTTTGCCTGACGATCTGACCTCGTTTTCTGGTTCTTCAAACCTGGCTTCGCGGTGCCTTTTACATGAAACGTTTCAAGGGATGCTGCCTGGACAGGAGCTCCATAGGAAGTTTGCCAGACGGAAAGTGTGATCGACCATTGGTTATTTTACAATAGCATGTACGTGTTCGAATGCCGACCCCGCAGGGCTAACACAAGTGCTACCCCGTGCAGCATAGACATGCTGGTAGCTAGTGCTCAGGACATTGGCACCTAAAGTTAAACATGTTGTGCAGCAACTCTAGTCGGTTCTGCCCTTGCACTGTTGCTGCTAGGTAGTCAATCATTAACTCCTCTCCGCACAATATGTCTCTCTTGGCGACCACGTATGCCTTGCCATGATGGATGGTTCTGTTGAGATTTGCAGCATCACAACATGCATGATTGAACCTGCAAAGATCCTTGAACAAAATGTGTGCCTCCAAGGTGGTATCATGATATGCATTGGTTCGCATGATCCCACCCAATGTCTTGAGGTTGCATGGCTTTATGGATCTCACCATCTCACCATGTTTGCTTTTGTTCTTGGTGCCTTTGCGCCCCCCTGGCGCTGAAACCACCACACCAAGTCGGCTAGCATCTTTCTCGTCCATTTTGGATACATGTCCATAGCTACCATTCAGCTTTTTGCCCGCCTCTGAAGCCAGACCTTCGATTTGGACATTATCACCCACCCTGGCATGACGATGGGAATCTTCCAGCTTCCAAACTTCTTCTTTCTGTGACGACCCTTGGATGTACGCAGTTACACTCAGTTCTGCCACGCGGTCTAGTGCGTCCCGTAGAGCTTGACTATTACAGCTATCTTCCTTCTCATCAATGATTGCGATCAAGGACTGGAAATCAGGATCTACGGCAAGAGAGGAATGGTGACGGGTGGGCTGAACATACATTGCCTTCTCTACGAGAACCACTGCCCCACCTTCGATATCTTTGATGGCGACAACGTGTGTCCCCTTAGCAGGGTTGTGGGCCAGTTTGAAATAAGTAGTCTTCTTTCGGTTGTATACTACTTCCATCATTGGAAGCAACTGTTGAACCGACATGGTGCTTCGCCTTCCTGTTGAGCACTTGCTTCCTTGTTGTTGCGTAAAGCAGACCGTCGTCCTCTTCTTTGCAAACTTTATTGGATCGATAATCGACCTTTTCTTGAAACTTCTTTCATCTGCTGGCAACGGCGAGCGAACATCCACGGTAGCAGTACGGACACCGACGCTACGGGGGGAGTACGGACATTCGGACACCACGGCAGCGCTGCGACACTGAAAACACGCTGGACATTGACCGATGCTGTCAAAGTTATAGAGGCATGAAACAATTTTTTAAGAAATGCGAGTACCTGGCTAGCTCTAGACAACAAGAGGATTGCGGCCTATATCTGGCCGAAGGCGGAACTTGGGCAGGGCCACCGATCAGGACGGGGGAGACCTTTTCGCTTGATGTGCCCAAAGAGGCCTTGATTACGCTATGGAGTGATGATGTATATGAATGGCGGGCCCTGAGGACACTCCTTGATACGTAGCCAGAAGAAGGTATTTTTGTCACTGTCACCGCCGGGCTGCCACGGCCCGCCCTGCCGGTACGGTATCGGTTCGTTGTTCAAGTATTCGGGTATGGGGCAAAAAAGCTCTCCTGTGGTGGTATTAATACCTACAGCAGCACAAACAGACTGGCAATTCATGATATGGATGGCACACCGGTGGGGCGCGAGAACGAGTCATTGACGATGCATAGTGTTTGTTATCCAAGGTGAAAATGTAGCTACTAGCTAGCGTACGAGTACGCAAGTGCTTTCGCTTTCGGCAGCGTTTTCTGTACCCAACTACCACGAATACCTACATGTACGAATTCAAAGTAGAGACAGAACCAAGCAAGCAAGTAGAAGCCAAGCCCTCTCTGTCTTGCCTTTTTTCTTTCTTTCTCCACAGCTTGCTTCTCCCACCAAGAAGCAATCTTACTTGAAGCCATCTGCACTCCTGCCATCTTGAAGTACTGGACAACTGACCATCATGATTCACCAGCAAGGTTTTCCTTGGCGGCAACCCACCACATTCCTCACTGGCAAATGTCCCACCGCCTTATGAAAACACTTCCAGCAGGTATGCAACGGTGGCCCACCAAACATGGATCCGAAAACTGTGGAGTTGGCAAGACATTGTGCCACTGGCAACTCCAGGCTGATGCTGATTGCCCCCGATGTGGACATCCTGAGGATACTACACACGTACTTCGGTGTGATGACCCTGATGCTACATCCTTGTGGTCTGCACACATGATAGAACTCTGGTCTCTTCTCGCTGATCTCCATACACCTTTGGAACTTCATACTGCCCTGCTTGATCGGTCATCATGCCCAGACCTCCCCTTGTCATTGACCCCACTGGAGTCCACAACTCAGTGCTACCATTCAGTCCCAGGATACTATTGGCTGGAAATGCTTTCTTGAAGGCCTCCCCACCAAGCTATTCTCCCGCTACATGGATGCTTACTATTCCTCTCAGGACTGGCAACTCTTGGCTCTACAAAATCCTACGCAGATCCCATCTTATGGCAGCCATGGTCCCTTTGGGAACACCGAAATACCACCCTCCATGACGAACGGCGCCCCCGACACAAACAAGCTCTCCATTTCCTCCACCAGAGTATCACCCATGAATACTTACACGGTCGTGGCACCCTTCCTCCCTCCCAGTATCACTTCTTTCGCCTGTGCTCGATCCAACTACTCAGCCGCCCTACCCACTTCAAACAATCTTGGCTGCAAAATCTCCATGCTGCGCGTGATCGTGAAGATCGACGACGCTTGCTCCTTACAGAAGATCACTCTTCATCTACCCTTTACATCTGGATGCAAACTGGCAGAATGCGCTCTATTCCAAATTCCCCTTGACACTTCCCTTGTGTCATTACCCACCACCCTGTACCCTCTCTGAATAAGCCCAATCACCTTGTGATACCGCTTTACTCGTATGGCTTTCTGATTTGACCCTGTGTTACCTTTCCATATAAATCCTGTTCTCAGAAAGACCACTTCTACTCCTTCACCTGTGCCAATAGTACAGGTGTTGAAGGAGTGAAACAAAAGCAACAGCCTTCGGCGCAATAGTACCTTTAGATTAATTACTATTAATCAATGTGCGAAACTGAAACCTCTCTTGCCTTTTTCACTCTCCCGCACGATTCGATTGCTTTTCCTGTGGACATCGATCACTGCGCCTAATCCAGTGGTTAGAACACTCCAGCAGCGGCACCAGTAGTGGTACCGGTAGTTGAACCACCAAATAGAATGCTGGATTGCGTCCATCTCCATGGAAGGTATCGTTCCAATTCCACGAGCAAATCGGGTCAGTGTTGATGCAAGAGTTGCACGACTCGCTTCGTGACCATTTTGTCCATGCTCGTGGTATTGCGGCCGGCCTTGAAAACGAAGAGGAATTCTTGATCATGATATCTGGCGAAGAAAGGTGGTTCGTCGGACGGTAGCAGCTTGGCTTCCTGGATAACCATCCTACTCTAGCCAGACCCCCCCTTACAAGACAAGAGAGACCACAGTGTGTGAAACCGCAAGCAAGAAACCGACCTGGCGAGCTCCGAGTTGGATGGCTTCTTTCGAATGTATATTGGATTTCGTTTGAAAGGGAAAAGCTTCAAGTCTCAGTTGATATGTTGATTTGATTGTACGACCTACACTGTGTAGCTAGTGCCCTGACCAAATAGCCCATTGTCCCATGAGAAGTAATAACCGATAGCACAGCATCATGATGCCAATGCTTCTTGGCAGCATGGTTCGCAACAGGAGTCCCTATGCCGGATCACAGGTACCCGTAACTGTGGTTCTCGCTATTGCTATCCAACTATCAAAGGAGCTGGTTAGTTAATGTTTGCAAGGACCACAATCACACCCACATAGGGAAGTGCCATGGCAGACGTTATGCTGGTTTCACTCGCACGACTTTACATGGTGGATGACCGAAGCAATTCATTTCCCTGCTGGTATATTCTTGTCACACACTCTGCAGGGATGCTGCCGACAAGATGTGTCTGTGACTACCAAATTGGCCAGGTCTCCGAATAGTAGTATAGGTGCCAGATAAGCGTTGGTATTCTGAATTCTAGGTCCGAGATCAGACAGTTGACCCACCTCTGTAGGAATAGGGCCCGAGAATTTGTTGTCATTGATGCGTATGAACTGCAAGTGGGAAAGTTTGGAAAAGAGAGCAGTTGGCAGTGTGCCCTGCAACTTGTTGGAGCCAACCTGGAGGAAGATCAGCTCTGAGAAAAGCAAACAAAGGTGAATTCAGATCCCGTCAAAGTTTTAACCCACAAGAACGCGACAAAATTTCCAAATATAAAGAAGCGTGCGACTCCAATCGCGCTCCCTTCCATCCCTTTGTTGTTTCAGTGGATGGCATGCTTGCCCCCAAGGCCAAGACTCTCTTACAACGCCTTGCTTCTGCTACTGCCTCCAAAACTCAATTTTCCTACTCTCAAATGATGTTCTTCATGCAGACCTGTATCTCCATTGCCCTTGTGAAAGCTACCCATTATGTCTCCGTGGATCTCGCAAGCCAAACCCTTTGCCCCCCGTAATGGTCCTCATTTCTTGCCCCTGATCCACACAGAACCTAGTCCTGATTTCGACTTTCTTTGCTTAAGCCTGGCCCCGGCTGCTTCCGTAGCTAATTTCCCTACTCTAAACCCTCGTTACTAAAGGTGAATTCAGAAGTCAACACAAGTACGATGCAACACCATATCTGGTATAATGTTTCTGAACTCACCAGTCAGTTCAAAGAGCTCATGTGGCAAAATTCCAGAGATAGAGTTCCTTTCCAAGTTCAGGGAGGTCTGTTGATATGTATGCAAGATCAGTGCACTTGCATACCATAACCTATTCAAAGTTAAATATGATTGCTCGGACCTTGCTTACCAGATAGAGTACTGTGAAGAGCCCAGTCCATCAAAGATAGGCATGTTACGTGTGTGAGAGTGCCAATTTCAGCTTTTGAAAGAGACTATACTAAAGTGTGAGATGTCATTATCCCAACTACATAGAATGTCTCAGTGCTGACATGGAATCGACATTATTGCCCCACTGCTTCGGCTTGATAGTTTAAAAGAGCGAAGATGCAGTGCATTGCGAACTACTTCTTGAAGGATGTATTCAGTTTCCAGCCCATTGTTGGGAATTCGCGATTAGGGATTCAGGCCCTTTACCTCAGTACCAGAGTACTAGAATTTTACACCAGTAGCAAAACTGGTAGCCCACCCACTTTTCAGTAGTATCTCAATAGCAAGACAATGGTAAACTAGAGAGCTTAGTGAATCTAACATACTACTGAAAAAGCTGACTGCCTATCCACAATAGATACAGATAGAGGAGTAGTCGGTGTATCGAACGAAGAGCAAGATCGCGACACGAGAAGAACGTCGACGACGGCAACGACCGACAGCGAGGATCGTCGTGCCGAAGCGAGAACAAGACCGTCGACAACGACGCGAAGACTGATACCGACCAGGAGACTGTCGATCCTTCGACAGCAAGAACAAGAGGAGTCTGCCGAAGCATCGAAGCATCGAGCCAATCGGCAGCAAGCAGGATCCGAGGACGGATCCGAAATCCAAGCCGAAAGCGAGTTTCGTCGACCGGAGTCGTCGAACCATCGGCAGCAAAAGTTTCGTCGGTAGAATCCACAAAGATTACCAGCAGGAAGGTTGCTTGGCAAGGAGAGCCAACAACAGCGCGAAAGCCATAGTGCCAGCGCAGGGACCAAGGACTGGTACCCAAACAGGAATCAATTAGCAAGGAAACGGGTTTGGAAAGGCAGACGACCGCACGAAGTGTGAAGCAATCGCGCCGGACCTTGCAAGATCCTTAGCCATAGATTTAACACTCTCTAGCCAGGAGTATAATACTGAAGTTATCGCCCCATAGCCAGAAGACGAATAAGTAGTCGGACGAGAACTTTTAAAAATAAAAGAGCTAGCCAATAAAAATAAACAATTGAAATAGTCCACCTACCGTAGCATAGAAAATGAGCGGTAGAGGTAGTGGAAGGAGTGGCCGAGGCGGCAGAGGACGAGGAGGGCGTGGAAGATCCACCCCATCGTCTTCGAACCGACAAACATGTTCATGCAAAGCCCTCGAACACCATGTGTTCAATTTC